TAGTTTAAAACATATTGTCAGCATACTTTAGTTCATGGGTGAAAATACATAGGCAGCTTTTTATAGTTTATATTACCCTTCTTTTTTTGTTAATAAGGCTCTTATAAATTCTGTGTTTATTAGGCTGTGGAAGGTAGAGAGTGTCGGGTGGTTCTCAGAGGAAGTTCCAGGTGCTGGATGTCTTAGTTTCACCTCCATGGCCTTGTAAAGTCTAAAGTTGCTTAGCTGTAGCTGTACTTTTGTTTTATTTATTTATTTATTGCTAGAGGGCAGGTGCACTTGCCAAGAAGAGACAGAGTGGATGGGAAAGGAGAGCTGTTGGAGGGAAAGGAGGAGGAGGCATCCTCCCTCCACGGGGTATGGACATGCCACAGTTTGTCCTCTTTTTTACATCCTATTGGGATTTTGGGTGCACGTGCAAATGCACCTAGTGTGTTTTTAAGCTACTGGGGCCATGATTCAAACTGCAGCTGGTCATGTGGGATCTGGCTCCTTTAACCACTAGGCTATGGGGTTTATCCCTGACATCTTTAACTTTTAGGCCTCATTTGTGTTTCTCAATAAAATCTTATAAAATCTCCAACTGGAATGGGAGATTCCAGTCACCACAAGAGGGAAAAGAAGATAGCTCATTAATGTTCCCGCCAAATATGAGATTTTAAAGTTCAGCATTTTCATTACAAATGTGGTAAAATTTTACATTTTAGAGTAAAAAATTAAGAGCAATAAGAGGCTTCTATTTTATCTAAACCAATTGATTTATTTTATTTTGTGTTTTGTTTTGCTTTTGCCATAAGGCAAGTGTGCTTCAGAGAGACAGTAGGAGGGAAAGTGAAAAATCACCCACCAGAGGGAATGGCCACCCTGCAATCCCTTCTCTTCCACTCTCTTCCTGGGATCTTGGGCATACCCCCACATGCACCCATGATTTTCAAGCCACAGACCTCAGTCAGCCATGTAGGAGTCCAGCACTTTAACCACCATGCCACCTGCTGGTTCCTAATTGATATATTTTGAAACAGTTCTTTTTGTTAAATCTTATAACAACTGAAGGTATTTTAGCAAATTTCAAAATTAAAAAATTTAAGTCAGAAGTATGGACTACTTATTGATATGTGGCCTTAAAAGGGTTGAAATGACTAGTTGTTTGAAATGTGAAATAAAAATAACTGATCTCAAGGGAAACCTAGTTCTTTCCATCGTACTCAACTGGCTTTCAGAATTGCTGCTGTTACAGAAAGGGAATTGACCACACAAGAACTGAGTGTAAGGGATCCCAAAGCCACAAAGAAAAAACCCACAAAATCAAATTTCACACATGCTTCTGGATACTTATTTTGTGAACTGAGTAGTTTGAGATTTTCCTAAATTTAATGTTTTAACATGTCTTATACTGAGTATCTTTTCTTTCTACTTGATAAAATTTACTCATTTTAGTTTTCCTTTTGCAGATGAAAGCCAAAAAATTCTAACATGGTGCTTGCGTTGCCTGGTTAACAAAGAACCACAGACTTCTGAAGAGTCCAAACTTAACTCCTGGATACGGGTAAGAGTACATCTTGCTCTGCTCTGGGTTAACTTGATCATTTAAAGATGCTGCTTTTTGTTGTGGGAGAGCTCTACTTCTGTAATGTTCTAGGAGCATTTTCCAACACATCTTTCAAACTGTTACATTGTCTTGCTAGGTATAAAGTTACTTGAGCAACTGCAGTTTTGCTAGATTGTAAATTCCAAAAGATATCAATCCATTGAGTGAACTTCACTATGCCTGCAAGACCCAATATGGAGTGACTTTGAGAAGCTATTTTCAAGTAATTAAAGGATGTACTCTACTTCCTTCTAGCAATTGCTGTCCCTCAAAAAATTGGTTCTCCTTATCAACCTAGTTAAATTCTTACATAATTCCTCTTCAAGTGCTTCTCTCAGAATCTATTCTATAGTAAAACCAAAATTCAGAAGTACCCAGGGAGCAGCACTTTTCATTTTGTGTCCTGAAGTTGTCACGTGGGCCTGTATGCGTACAGACTAGGACTTGGTGCTACTAGGCCTCTGTTTGCACTGTTCACACCATTACCTACTGCACTAGTCTGGATAGCTGACAGCTGCTGGGTTTCCTGTCTGTTTCTGCCTCGTCTGTTTCTGCCTCCTTCTGGAGGGCAGACACAAGTTGGAGAGTGTCAGCAGGCTGGGCTGTGGCTGGCCTGTGCTGGCCTCACCATCAGCAAGTTGGCTGTTCTTTTCCCTCACCCCCCACTAGCCTGCTGCAACCCCAGGACTTGCAGATGGCTGTCAGACTCCACTTAGTATGCATATGGTTCAGATTAGCTGCTTAGTATTATGAAATCACCCAGCCAGATTAATGCATATGGTTTTGTCTATCAATCTGATTGGTGATGTCATTACACTCACTGCTTTTTACAATTCCTGTGTTTTAGAAAAAATTGCAAAAAGAGAGGGCAAAGACAGTGTTTGCATTTTTCTGTTAGATTGAAAGAAGAACAGAAGAGATAGTAGAAGTGAAAGTGATTGGGTGAGGGAAGGAAAATTAATGTAAAGAAACTGAAGAAAGAAACTAATAAGTAAAATTAGGGGAAAAAAGGTATGTGAAAAACAAGACTGCAGGCATTGAATCAAATATATTTAATTTTTTTAATTGTTGCCTTTTGAATGATTATTTAGCATTGGCTAGTTTATTAAATCCTGATATAGGTCATCCAATAATGTTTTTAGGATGATCGAGTTAACTTTCTTCATTTAGCCTAGACTTTATTAGCCTATTTTAAAATTTCTAACCCTATGAGACCAGCAGATGGTGTAATGGTTATATCGCTGGACTCCCACGCAGTCGACCATGATTTGAATCCCGGACCCAGCAGCTTAAAACTCATGCCCAGCACACGTGTGCGTGTGCCCAAAATCCAGAGAGGAGAATGGAGGGAGAAGAGATTGTGACATGGTCATCCCCGCAGGGGGTGATTTCTCACTTTCTCTCTCTCTGTCTTTATCTGTGTCTCTGGTGAGCACCTGTGCCCTATAGCAAAAAATAATCTCACATTGAAAAATAAATAAAAATAAAATTTCTAACCCTACATTTTATTCTTTGTTTTCTCCTTGTTTAATACTGTGTCCATTTATGAATGGGTAACTTACTAAGTATTGTTCAGAGAAGTCAAATTAAAACTCTTAACGTCTTCCTTTATAGAATGAGAACAGCTGACTCAGGGCAGTGTGGCTGGGTTATTGGTAGAACTGTGCATAGGTGTGATGGTGACACAGAGGGAGACACTTGCTCAGACTTGGACGTTCGGAGACATTTCCCCAGGGGTTATTAGCTGAGTGAGCTAGTAGGTGAGATATTTGGCTAGGAGAGCAAGGAAAATGTACCTACCTGTTAGTAAAAAGAACATGAAAAAGGGACCAGCAGTTAGCGTAATGGCTATGTCGCTGAACTCCCATGTAGTCAACTGCGGTTTGAGTCTCGGTGGCTTAAACTCACACCGGGCGCGTGTGCGTGCATGCCCAAGATCCCGAGAGGAGAATGAAGGAGAAGGGATTGCGGCATGGCCATCCCACTGGGTGGTGATTTCTCACTTTCTGTCTCTCTGTCTCTCTCTGTCTTTCTGGCGAGCACACGCACCCTATAGCAAAAACCTCTCCCCCCAAAAAAGAAAGAAAGAACATGAAAAGCATGGTGATGAGAAAGTCATTGTTGTGTTCAGGAAATGGCGGGTGCTTAGACATGCTTGGACCTTGGGATCTTTGGGGGATGGGAATGAGGCATGAAATCAGATAGCTCCAAGCCTTGTGTGTGATGATAAGAAGTTTTTATTTCATCTTGAAGGCAATGGGGAAATCACCTGATTATTTAAACAGAAATCATATGGCCAGGTGCAAGTTTTAGAAGTCAACAGCAAAAGGAAATTGGTTTGAAAGAGGGCAAGAATAGCACTTTTTTAGCTAGTATAGTGATAAGGTTGAGAAGTAGTGAGGGCCTGGATGAAATGGAGAAGAGGAGCCAGATTTATAAGATATTAATAAGGTAAACATTTTAAAAGATGTAATGGCAAATTAAGAGCAGATGTACTTAGGTGCAAGTGGAAATGTACAGAGTAGTTGGACATGCCACTCTCAGGAGAGGGAGCTGACTTGCTGATAGTCGAGTGAGCAGCGTGTGAGAACAGAGGAAGCCTCGGATGAGGTGAGGCCACCCACAGAGAGGACCTAGAGAAGGATGAGAGGGAGGACGAGAGAGAGCCTTGGGAGAGACTGACATTAAGGAGCTAGAGGAAGAGTAATAGACACTACAGAATAAGGGAGGAGTCCAAGAAGTAGGAGAAAGGCGGTAGCACTTGAGAAGTGCGTCACCACTCAGATTCAGTGATGTAGAGCAGTACTGCCCCGTAGAAGTAAAGTACATGCCACAGGGCCCACTGCGAGCGTAGCAGTTAAGTGAACCAGATCCCCTGTGGCCAACCATGGTTTGAATCCTGGCCTCAGCAGTTCAGAAAACACGCTAGGCGTGTGTGTGTGTACCCAAAATCCTAACAGGATGGGGAAATGGAGGAACAAGGATTGTGGTGTGACCATGCCCCATTGGGGTGCTTTTTCTCTTTCTCTGGTGAATGCATGTGCTCTCTGGCAATTAAAAAAAAATTAAAATACATGTGGCATGGATAATGTTTAAATATCCGGTAGCTACTTTAAGAAACTTAAGACAGAAATAGACAAAATAAATTTTAAAAATATTTAACCAGTGCCAGCAGGTGGCATGTTGGTTAAAGTGCTAGACTTTCACATAGCCAACTGTGGTTTGGGTCCCAGATCCATTGGCTTGAAAATCATGCCAGGCATGTATATGCACGTGCCCAAAATCCGAAGGGCACTGGAGAAGAAGGGGTTGCTGCATGGCCGTCCTCCCTGGGAGGTGATTTCTCATTTTCCCTTTCTCTGTCTCTCTTTGGTTCAGCATAAATCTAAAAAAAAAAAATGAAATGGCATGAATCTAAAAAAAAAAAAAAAATCAAGGACCAACTGGTCTAAAAAAAAAAAAAAAAAAGAAATGGCATGAATCTAAAAAAAAAAAATCAAGGACCAACTGGTGACATGGTGATTAAGATGGTGGATCCTACATGACTGACTGCACAGTTCTAGTCCCATACTGGCAACTTAGAAAGCATGCTGGGTGTGTGTGCATGTGATCCCAAGAGGAGAATGGAGAAGGCATTTCGATGTGACCACCCCCTTAGAGAAGCGCTTTCTCACTTTTCCTCCATCTCTCTCTGGCAAGTGCACGTACCCTGTAGCAAATTTAAAATAAATTAAATAAAATCCAGTACACTCAAAGCACCATCACTTTAATGTGCAATCAGTATAAAAATTATGAATTGGATTATTTTATAATCTTTTTTTCATACTATGTCTTTGAAATCTAGTGAGTATTACACTAAAACTTAGGTCTATATCTGTATATATTACTTCTCACTTCAGACGTTAAATCTCCATTATAAATTCGTGATCTGTACTGAGATTTCATAAAAAGTATGGTAAAAAGTAGATTCACATACTTACATTGTTTCAAAGAAACTTATAACTGAATCAAGTGTCAATTTAGCTTACTTTAGTTCAAATTAAATAAAATTAAACATTCAGTTCTTCCATTGTGCTTAGTGCATTGACGTGCGCAGTAGCCACATCTGCTGTCTCTGCTCGTGGTGTCGCTGTCGGTGTCGGACAGGGCGGCCATAGTGCGTGAAGTATTGAAAAGCATTACTTGGATTTAGCTGCTAGATGGAAAGACCTTGCTGAGAGTAGTTTTCGTGAGTAGTGGAGGGAAATAACCAGACTGTCACAGACTGAGGAATGGTGGGGAGGGTAGAAAGCAGAGATGATAAACTTTAGTTGCTGTTCCAGGGAACTTTGCAGAGAAGAGGGAGAGAGAAGGTAGTCATAGACCAAATTATTAAGCTGTGTGATGGAAATTGAGGAAGCCCTGGATATGCATTACTCTGCGACCATGCAGTAGGGAATTGTTGAGGACGTGGGAGATGGGCCCAGCAGCTCCCCTCCTCATTGTATGAGACAAGCCTGTACGGAAAGTGATGAACTGATAGAAAATATAGGGCTCTGTTCTTGAACTCTTAACCATCTAAAGCTAGTTAGTTACGTGTGCCTTTTGCAGGTCATCATCTACTTAATCTTATCATGTTGGCTATAAATGCTGCAAGAGAGAGGGTAGTTGTTGGCTTGTAAGTCATTCGTATATATTTTGGGTATACTTTATCTTAGAGGTGATAGTTTTCCCATAAAAGCTTTAAAGTGATGTATTACATGTTAAAGACTTATGCCTTGTCAGCCAGTATTCTTGTGAAAATTGTATAACAGCCATATTTTTATAATATTGGTTAATTCATTCAATAGACATTTATTTGGTGTCTGATATGTGCTAGGGTGTTCTAATAATGATCGTAAAATCTTGGGTCATTCTGGGTTCATGGAGCATCACAAGTGTAATTGGGATAGCCTGAATCAAACACTAAGAATCTGAAAAATGTATTTCAAATGCAGATTATTGAATTTGAAAATGTGACTGAGTTGCATCTTTAGTACAGAGAAGAAATAAAATTTCTACCTGATGCTTGGCATGTGTTAGCATGTGTTGTGTTGGAATCACAGTATTAAACTTTTTTGGAGTTGTAATCAGCTTCGAATAACACCATTCAACAACTATTCTTACCATTTAGAGATTGAGGTCACAGTACTTTTTCCTATCTTTTTGGAATTTTTTTTTTTTAATTTGCCAAAAGGCATATATGTGCTCGCGTGCGAAAGAGAAAGAGATAGAGAAAGAGAGAGAGAGAGAGAAAACAAGCAAGAAAGCACCCTCTATGGGGGATGGTTGTGCCGCAATCCCTTCTGTTTCATTTCTCCTCTTAGGATTTTGGGCATGCACAGACACGTTCCTGGTGTGTTTTCAAGCTGCTAGGTCTGGGACTCAAACTGCAAAATTGGCCATGTGGGATTCAGCCATGTTAACCACCACACCATAAGCTGGATCAGTGTTATCTTTTTTTTTTTTTTTTTTGGGAGGTTTTTTCCCAAGGGCATGTGCACAGGCCAGACAGAGAGACAGACAGAAAGCGAGAAATCACCCTCCAAGGGGGATGGCCACGCCGCAATCCCTTCTCCTCCATTCTCCTCTTGGGATCTTGGGCACACACGCACACACACACGCCTGGCATGAGTTTTAAGCCACCAGGTCCGGGACGTGAACCACGGTCGACTACATGGGAATCCAGCAACATAGCTATTACGCTAACTGCTGGTCCCAGTCCTTATTATCTTTTAAAGTAAATCTATGCTTAGTTTTATTGTAGTCTAACTTACTAATATTTTTCTTTGTGGTTAATTATTTTGTATCTTATTTAAAAAATCTTTCTCCACTCCAAGGTCATAAAGACCTTCCATATTATCTTCTTAAATTATATTGGTTTGCCTTTCCCATGTAAGTCTGTGATCCATTTTTTGTTTTGTTCTATTTTGTTTGCTTTTTTTTCTTTGTATGGCCCTAGGTAAGAGTCCATTTCATTTTTCTGTCCACAGAGATAGCCCACTGGCCAACACTGTTAATTGAAAAATCATTTTCCCACTGATGTGCAGTGTTATCTTCATCATAAATCAGGCATCTTTGAATGTGCAGATGCAATCTTTAATCTCTCCATTGGTCTTATTATCTATCTGTTAAGATTAATTCTGTGTCTCATCTTGATTAGACCTTGAAGAGACCAGATATTTGGTCAACCATTATACTCTGTGAGTATATTTTTAGATGAGGTTAACATTTAAATTGGAAGACCAAGGAAGACAAATTGCCCTCCTGTCTGTGGGTGGGCCTCGTCCAATCAGTCGAAGGCCTTAATGGAACAAAAAGACTGAACCTCTCCTAAATGAGAAAGAATTCTTGCTGTACAACAGCTTTTTTTTTTTTTTTTTTTTTTTTTTCTATAAGGGGCGTCGGCTTGTTATTTTTGCTAAAAGGAGCATGCGCTTGCCAGACAGAGACAGAAAGTAAGAAATCACCCCGAGAGGGGATGACCACAGTGCAATCCCTTCTCCTCCATTCTCCTCTCAGGATCTTGGGCACGCACACACGCCCAGTGTGAGTTTTAAGCCACCAGGTCCGGGACTCGAACCACGGTTGACAACATGGGAGTCTAGCGACATAGCCATTACACTAACTGCTGTTCCCAGCTGTCCAACAGCTTTTGAACTGGGATATCTGTGTTTTTTTACCCCTTGTCTTTAGATTCAAACTGGAATATCAGCTCTTCCTAGTTCTTAAGCCTGCTGGTTTTAGGACCAGAACTCCACCATTGACTCTCTTGGCTCTCTGATTTGCTAATTTCTCTAAGAGCCAGTTTCTTAAAAGCCTGTGTGTGTGTGTGTGTGTGTGTGTGTGTGTGTGTGTGTGTGTGTATTATGCAGCTTCTGTTTTTCTGGAGAACTTTGATACATTATTGTCCTGCTAACACCATGCTGTCATCATTAATGTGGCCTCCTGAGTGTCTTGCTATCCAGGAGGAAGTTCTTCCATCTTGTTCTTCGTCATCAAGACAGTCTTGACTAACATTAGACCTTTGCATTAATATTAAATACATTTTAGAATCTACTTGTCAAGTTTTTTCAAAAGCAAAATAATTTGGGAGATTTCAGTTCATATTGTCATTGGTCACTTTGGTGAAGATCTCAATGGCCACTATATCTATAGGGATAAAATGGATTTTTATTATCCTTGTTTACTCTTAGCAAATCAACTAGTACCTGGCACAGTTTTTCAGTGACTAAATGAATTATTGATAATGTGCAAATTCATTATTTCGAATAGTTTTCCTGGTAACTTTGAAAACTTCTCGCCAACTTATTTACAGATTAAACTTTGGATGAGAGCGATGGATAGCTCACAGTAGGAGGAGGAGTACTAGTTCTGCCATCTCCTAGTTACTCTCCTTATGTTTTTTAAATTTCTGACTTCTTTGCAAGGATTGTTTGGAGTCAGGTGTCCATGGCATAGTTACTTTAGTTGGATAGCATAATCAAAGACCTCCCTTACTGAGCACATACAGACTGCAGTGCATAGCCAGAGAGTACATGAAAATGCAAAGTGTCCCTGTGAACCCTGTCTGTGGTGGAATCCACACTCTTACGGCAACTAGAGCTGTCGTGCTGGCCCACTTGTAAGCTATCACTCAACTTAGATCTAACGGTCCGTTGTCTTTACAGCTCAAAGGATTATCTTCTACACCATTTGGAGTCCACATTCTTAGCTTTATTAGCCACTGGTCTCATTATTAAAATCCACAGACTGCCTTTTGTATGTGCAGTTTTTTGTGATCTTTCCACTCCCTTTTCTCTGCACCCCACATACCGTGAAGGCCATGCCAGGATCTTCCCATGTCCTAGGATCTTACCATGCCTGCTCCAGACCTGCCCAGTGTATTTACAGATTTGCTCCTTGTACAGATTCCCCTTGTTCTGCTTGGAATGGTTTGCTACCCTTGCTAGCCTGTCCCAGCTGGGGTATGGAAATGGAGAGAAGGAATTATTGCCCAATTTTCATTGGTAGTTTAAAAGGAAAATAGCTTATTTCTTGAGGGTTAAGAGAGGAAAGCAGAGGCAAAGCCACATTCAGGGACCAAGGCTGGGATGCTAGAGCGTTGTCCTCCACAGTTCCACGCTGGCTTTTCTTTTTTGTTTTTAAGCGTATGTATTTGTTGAGAGAGAGAGAATGAGCGAGAGAGATAGGCACCCACAGCAGGGTCCCATGCTGCGATCCTCCCCGTGGCCTTCCCTGGCAACCTGAATCATGGACATTTGTGTGCCTCGTGTGCCTGTTGACCCAGGAATCAGCTTTCACATGACTTCCTGCATGACACACACTGCTCCACCACCCTGGCTGGGCCTCCACTTTGTTTTTATTTTACTTTTGTAAAGACAAATGCAAGACCTTTTCCTATCTGTATACTAGTTGCTTTGCTTTCTACAACTGAAAGAGTTTCATTTATGTATGTATGTATGTATTTATTTATTTTGGAGAGGTTTTTGCTATATGGAATGTGCACTCGCCAGAACAACAGAGAGATAGAAAGTGAGAAATCACTCCCCAGGGGGAATGGCCATGCCGCAATCCCTTCTCCTCTAATCTCCTCTCAGGACCTTGGGCATGCCCGCACATGCGCCCAGTGTGAGTTTAAGCCACCGGGTTTGGGACTCGAACTGTGGTCAACTACATGGGAGTCCAGCGACATAGCCATTATACCAACTGCGGGCCTGAGTTTCTTTTACTTTTAAAGGTTAATTGGTAATTGAATTTTTGTGTTCTTGTATGTAGTGGATACTTAATCATTGCTTTTCCAGTGTCCATCTTTCCTTCTCTTCTACTTTCCAAATAGTAATTTCGTAGCTGCACATTCATTTTGGGTTAGAGTTGTCTATCTAGCTGTCACGGTGGGCCCTAACTGGCTTAGGAAGTACAGCCTCTGTATCCCCTGGCAACAGTGATTAGTCAGGGTGGACACATGGCCCAAAGTGGGCCAGTGATGGGTGAAGAGATTCAGTTCTAGGGACCAGCAGTTAGCGTAATGGCTATGTCACTGGACTCCCATGTAGTCTACTGCGGTTCAAGTCCCAGACCCAGTGACTTAAACTCACGCCGGGCACATGTGCGTGTGTGCCCAAGATCCTGAGAGGAGAATGGAGAAGGGATTGCGGCATGACCATCCTCCCTAGGGCGAGATTTCTCACTTTCTGTCTCTCTGTCTCTCTCTGTCTTTCTGGAGAGCACATGCGCTGTATGGCAAAATCCTCTCAAAAAAAAAAAAAGTGAGCATCCTGGAGAATTAGAGGGCAGAAGAGAAAAACAGACCCTTCATTGTTGTTTGTTCATTTTTTATTATTTTATAGAGAGAGAGAGAGAGAGAGAGAGAAAGACAGAGAGAGAGAGATGTCTCATTTTCACAGTCTTCTTGCCTTAGGTTCTTGGCTGGCACTCACAGCTCCTGCCACCATGCCTGACTCTCTTTCAGATAAGGTCTTGCTATATTGCTTGTGATCCTCCTGCCTCAGCCGCCCCAGTTGCCGGTATTACAGGGACATGCCACCACATTTGGCCTTTAGGTTGGACTGGGAATTGAACCTGGGCTTCCTGTGTGGTCCCAGCCTACAGAGCACAAGTGTTTTAGCAGCACTCCTCACCACAGCTAGAGCAATTCTGTAACTTTGGTTTGCATGACTGGAAGGTGGATTGCATTAACTGATGAACATGAATTAAGTCGCACATAGTCCCCGAAGTTGCCTTCAGTCATCACAGGACCACAGGATCAGAGCCTCCCTGGAATGGAATTAGTCCTGAAAAAACATAGCTGAGAAAAAGAGAAATAAAAAAACAGATTGTAGGCACCGTTGTCAGGAAAATGGATCAATCCTCTTTTGTACTTACATGCTCAAATACATCCCCTTCCTATTTAAGCCAGTTTGGTTTAGGATTTTGTAACTGAAAATCAACAGTACTCTAAAACAACAGACTTATTTTGGGGATTTAATAACTATTTTTTATGAAGGGTTTTGAAACTCAGAGACATAATTGCATTGGGGGGTGTCTTATTTACTCCAAGGATACATTTCTTTAAATACTGAATTTGACTAAGTACTTGATTTTTAGAATTTATTTTATTATTATTATAATTTTTTAAACATGATCGCTGTACATCATTTGGCTTGTAAAGAGAATTTACCCAACATGAAATACATCTCAAACCAGTCCAGTTGAGAATACTATACACATTATCGTCAACAGGTGGTAAACCATTTCTGTGTCCCACACAAATGTCTTCTTGCCTCTCTATTTTTTCTCCCTGATTTCCTTCTCTATACTCTTCCCTTTTCCTACCTTCCTTCCACACTGTCTCCAGCATCCATACCTATTTTCACTGCTTTTATGTCCTCCAATCTTTCAGTCTCTACCATAGAGAATGGACAATCAGTATATATTAAGTGGAGACATTCAATATCTTTCTTTCATAGCCTGGCTTTCTTCACTCCACAATAAATCTTCCATATTCGACCACTTTCTATCACATGCCTGGGTCTCGTTTTTGTTTTTGTTTTTTTTTATGGCTGAATGGTATCCCATAGAGTATATGTGCCATACTTCTTCAGTTCATTCATCTGTATGTGGACATTTGGGTTGGTTCCAATGTCTTAGCAATCGTGAATAATGCCACAGCAAACATTGATGTATAAGCGCTTTTCTGGCTGAGCATTCTCCTGTCCTTTGGGTAGATATCCAGGAATGGGACTGCTGAATCATATGGTAGTTCTATTTGTAGGTGTTTGAGGAACCTCCATATTGTTTTCCAGAGTGGCTAGACCAATTTACATTCCCACCAGCAGTTAAGTATCTGATTTTTAGTTTAAGGGATATAAACAAAAGTTGTAGACACATGTAAATATAAATAAGATGGTGGATTCAGTGTTGAAAATACATTCAGGAGTGCAGACGGGCATGGCTTGGTACTGACTGGATGTTAGGGAAAGGGAAGAGGAACAGTGAGGGAAAATGTGAGGTTTTAGGAGATTAATAATACCTCTGTCTTCTCCTGTGTTAAGAACCATTTGAGAAATAAGATAGCAGAAACAGGGAATTAGAAACCACAATGTCAGTTCCTCTACTCCTAAAACAGATTCAAGAATGCTGCCGATGTCTTTGATTCAGTTGGGCCCCTCTGGATTTGGTAGACAGGTCCCTTCCAGGCATGGGTAAGCTGAGCCCCCAGAGGCCTCCATGGCCAGGCACCAGCCTGCTGGCCAAGTGTGGTGTAGCAGTAGGCCAGAACACACTTCTGCAGGAAAGACAGGTCAGTCAGGGACATGAGTGTACGGGACTGGGCATTTTCAGTCTCCTGTTTTAAACCGACTAACTAGATCAGTTCTTCTGGAGGGGAGAGGTGGGGGGTTAAGAGATGATGTCATAGGTTGGGCTCTCAGGATATCTGACTTTGCAGTGGAGATTAGTGTGCAGAGAGTGCTTTGGGGAGGCACAGCTGTGGAGGGGAGAGGAAGGAGGCAGGATTGTGCAGAGGGAAAAGTTCAGCTGCAATGCAGTCTTCACAGAAGCTCCCCTGTGCCTTCGGGATGGAAATGGGAGACCTTCCAAAGTGTTTCTGCACTGAGATGGGAGGGTGAGGGCTTTCCAACACTGCATTCATCAGCCATGGGGATGTGGCCACTGTGGGCCGGGTGTGTGATTTCAGGCAAGGCGAGGCAGAGACAGCTGAGGAGGATGCAGCTGGCACAGCACAGCATCCTCCACAGATGACAACACCTTTCCCGCCTGCTTTGCCAACCTGGGGAGTGGGTGGGCATTCTGGAACCTGAGGACTGGGTGGTTTGTTTCCATCTGAAAGAGAAAAGCAGGATTTGGGGGTGGCTGTCAGGATCCCTGAAGTCAGCCATGTAAGAACGTACGAGAGAGGAGCAGGAGCAACACATCCCATGCTCTCCATCTTCCTCCTGGCCGTGTCCTGGACCATGGCACGGAGAGTCCGTCTTCACTTCTTGCCCTCCTCGCTGCCTGTCAGTGTTCCTTTGCATCCTTGGGACCATAGTTCAGGGAATATGGTACAAATCAGCCCTTTCTTTCACTCCCTGTTTCTCTGTTGGATAAAAGTGACTTAGAAACAGGCAACTGAGAAAGACAAAGTATGAAGCATTTCTTTATAATTGTATAACTGTGGTTTTTCTTTTTTTGAGCTTTGGAAATCACAGAAGCTTTCTGCCATACTGTATTAGGGCAGTGGAATCCTGCTGGTGACCTACTAAGTGCAGCATGTATGTTTAGTGAATCCATGAAATGGCATCTGCTTTGTTAAATATCATGTTTTTATTTAATCTGATACAATTTTCTCAGCATTTCCTAGTTTTATGATATAAATATGGTTATTTTTATATTTTGCAATGCTCTGGAAAATGTAAAAGTCACTACCATTCTCATCCACAAGTATTTTGAGTCCGTTTGGTAAGACCTACACTTTACCCCACACATGCTGTCTAATTGTGAATGTTTCTTTTATTTTTTATATATGCATGTTTTGAGGGGAATCTTCTTTTAAGTCATTAATGTGAATACACAGAACTTCTTATTAAACTTCCCAGAATGAATATTTGTTTCCTCTGAAGAGGTAAACGGAGATTCCATTTATGTTCCTGGCTAGTTTTTGGTTTGTTTTCCGTTTTTTGTTTTGTTTTTTCTTTAATTTCATTTAGATGCAGTTCTTCTCATTCTGACTAAAATTGTAATGAGATTGTTTTCTAGCAAGTTGCCACTGCTCAAATAGGCCAGATCAAGACATTTATTGCCAATTAGGAACAGGATGTTTGAGATGTTTAGTGATGTTCTCCGGATGACCTGGTTTATGTTTGTTTTGTTTTATTTTTGTTTTATGATCATGTTGGCTTTTCCATTAAACTATAGCTTTAATTGAGTTGGCTTAGTTAATAGAACATTGACCAGATCCCCTTCTCTATCCCCCAGCGTGCCCCTCCTCCCTGGCTCTGTCGTGCCCCAGCCTGAAGTGAAGGGAGTTTCCCATCTTCGCATTACAGATCTGATGTGTTCCTAAGACAAGGCTCGTTGAATTTCAATCTAAATTTCCTGGATAGTGCTTCTTGGGATGTTTAGGGATAAATGCTTGTGAAAAATAAATTTAAACAGTCTTGTCTACAGTGGGGGACGTGTCTTAGTGAGTAGCCACCATGAGGAACTCGATGTCTATAACACACGTGGCTGCGTGATCTCTACATCTGTTTTGAAGTTCAGTTGTTTCCCAGACCACATATGCATTTCTTTAGGGAGCTGACATTTCTCCCAGGACCCAGGCATTGTGAGCTGGTAACTGTAATTGGCTTATTCTTTTTGACCTAGAGATTGTTATACTTTGTCTTGGTTTAGCTATTGTTCCTATCAGATCTGGTTCTGTTTAGTACTGACAGCAGTGGAGTTTCTGTAAATTAGCATGGCAAAGGAACCAGGCATATTTAAGCCCATAAATCTTGATTTCCAGGTCTTTTAAAAGGTTTGTGGTTTGAATAGTCCTTTACTCTATGGTAGACCTAAGGAGTAGTTTTAAAAATTCTGGCTATCAGAAGGCCTTCATAATTCAACTGAAATTACAAAATAACCTCAGATGAGTCACTCTTTTAGGGATCAGAAGGTCCAGGTCTGTCCTGACTGTGCGAGTGAGATCTTTTCTAACTTACATACCTTCATTTTCATGTATTAAAAACAGTGTAACAAATACTGTGTGATTCTATTTCTATAAAATATCTAAAGTAGTCAAATTCATAGAAACAGAAAGTAGAATGAATAGGGAGTGATTTAGTGGGTACAGAGTAGTAGTTTTGTGAGATGAAAGCATTCTGAAATATGTGGGCCCTTTGATTCAGGATAGGGTTCTTACCTCTCCTCAAACTTATGCTAAAGTTGAAACATGGTTAAGTTGAACCATTGTTAAATTTGAGACTGTTTGGACTTAACACTATTGAACTATATACTTAGAAATGATTAAGGTAGGGACCAGTAAATGACATAATGGTTATGTTGCTGGACTCTCACATGGCTGATCATGGTTTGAGTCCTGGACCTGGCAGCTTGAAACTCACACCGGGTGCATGTACATACATGCCCAAAACCCTAAGAGGAGAATGGAGGAGAAGGGATTGTGGCATGTCCAGTCACCCAGGGGGATGATTTCTCACTTTTTGTCTTTCTGTCTCTGGCTAGCACATGTGCCCTATAGCAAAAATATCTTTAAAAGAAAGAGAGAGAGAGAGAAAGAAAGAAATTGTTCAGGTGGTAAGTTTCATATTGTGTATTTTCTACTACAATTTAAAATGTTTTAAATACATATTTTTTCAAAAGATTAGTGTTACTGGCCAGCCCCATAGCATAGTGGTTAAGGGATTGCACATAGCCAACTACAATTCAAGTCCTGACCGCGGCAACTTGAAAAATATACTGGACACGTGTGTGTGCATGCTCCAAATCCAGACAGGATGGAGAGATGGAGGAGAAAGAATTGCAGTGTGATCACATCCCATTGAGGGGTGCTTTCTGCCCCCTTCGCCATCTCTCTGTCTCTCCCTGATGAGCATATGCCCACAGCAATTATAAAAGGAAGACGTTACTGTTAATTAAACATGTGGCATACAAGCATGAACTGTTCACAGCTCCATGAAGGTAGGTGTTATTATCCTGTTTTGTACTTGGGAGAGCTGATGTTTGGAGAGAGAGTTTGCTGGGTAGTAAGTAGCAGGCCATTTTGGGCCTAGGTGTGATTCTAAAGCCAATTGAAAAATACACTGC